GGCGCCGAAATGCGCAGCGCCTATCACTGGGTCGCGGGATCGAAGTGGAGCACATTAGTTCGCTCTGATGATCACTCTTACCAAGTAAAGCTGTGAAATCCACATGAAACATTAAAAGGAGATTTCGGTAGATTGCTGGAGCTCCGAATGATGTTTACGAATATAAAAGTTGAAACTAGGTCGGAGGTGGTGTAGTGGCAAGTGGCGCACTATATCACACGCACGGTCAGGGGTTCGAATCCCGGATCGATGCCCGCCTAGGCCAACCAAGCCTTCCATCTCTCCGGGGTCGGTGAATTGGTACCTCTGAATCGAGTCGTCGGGAGGATAAAAACACTGACTTGTACATCGGCTGGCCACCGCAAGTCATTGTATAGGCCACATACGCACTCATTACGCCACTGCGATTCTGAATGGAAGTCGAGTGCGGGGGCACATCCCTTAGACGGGATAGATTAACGCCAAAAACTTTATCCTTATTTTACTTTATAAGTTGAATCTGCTATATGAGCTTCCTAAAAAACCGGAACAGTTCCAGTTGAATTACGCAGTTGTCCAAACTAGTGCAAGCGCCTCCATAGCGTGGTGTGGTCCCCCCGTCACGCAAATAATGAGGGTTTTCATCAAAGCAGACTTTTCTTCCGATGATAGCTTTTATGACCACTTCTATACTTTATAGCAGTCGGACTGTCTGGCTAACGTCGGGCTCTTCTACCTTTTGTGTTGAAGGTGATCCGCCGCCGGCACCCATGCTTAAAATCTTTTGATCAAGAAAACAGGAGCTAATAGTTTCTGGCGAAACACACACACACCAACACACTTCCTGAGTTGGGTTCACTCCCTCTTATTACAACTTGACTGCGTGTTTTCACTCAAAGTGCGGTCGATTAATCACGCCCAATAAATCCCCCCTATGCTTCCGCGGACTGGACCCGGTCCAGTTACCTTCTACTACCGGCCATCGGTGTCTGAACCCATTGACGACCGCGTGGCCCGCCGGCGGGCCACACCATATCGTGCTCCTGAAGGATTTGTATTATTTACCAAGTGTTCTTATAATTTTTTCATGTTTTCAAGTATCCGTTGAGCTCACAGCCTTCTACAAAATCTTGAGGCATTGTGGTCCAGAAGTTATTCATTTCCAACTACAGTTATAAGAAAAATCAAAAGTTAATGTCAAGGGACAATATAAAAGGCGCGGTCGTCTGCACTCGCTCCATATTAGAAGCTTCAGGTCAAAATTAACAATTCTCGCATTTATACCGCCTCCTGTAGGCGGACTCGAGCCCTGCCACCCACCATTCCGCCAATCCTGCCATCTGTACCCCTAATAAATTTGAACGCTCTAGGTGCACGGGAAAAAGAGTTGTGAATTTCCACTCAAACCCCGCATACTGTTGTCGAGTCATACGTCAGCTATGTCGAGTGATGCGTCAGCTCGAGACAGCCGTGCTGAGACATGCGTAGGTTTGAGACAGCCGCTAGGATTTCATCAGCCTTGCCACTACACCTACGAGAAAGCTGTCATGCCATCCATCAGGAGACACGGTGTAAAAGCAGCCGCATCATGGCATGAGGGTCGTCGTCTCGGATGTCACCTTAGCCGCCAGGCTAACCACGGACCCTTCGTCAAAGCTATTACTAGCACTCTCTTCCTGTCCTCTCCCCCTGCCCCTCCTGTATTCTCCCTTTGTAAATCTTCTTGTATAATAAATATATAAATACATATACTTAGCTACAGAAGCATCCTACGTCCGCTACACATTCAGGTATAGGCCTGGTCAACCTATAACTTGATATGGAGGTCGCAGAGAGATGATTTTTTTTTATTTTGGGAAAGAGCTAACTAAAACCATTGTAGTTATAGCTAATTCTTTTGTATCAAACCACCTCTCCCCCCCCCCCCCCCCCCCCCCACTTACCCCCTTCCTTCTTCCCACATACCCATACGCTCGACTCACTGCAGGTTTCGTCGCGATATTCTTGGAAGATTCGGTCAACATGAACATGGACGATGAAATGACGAGGAAGTACAGTAAGTTGTATCATACTAGACCCAGCAGTAAAAAATCAGGCTTTTCAAAGCAACATCTTGAAGCCATCATACTCTTTCTTACTATATGAGAAACATATGATAAAGTATACGGTCGCGTATACAAGTATACGGTTGCGAATACAATCTACAAGTATGCGATCGCGTACACTATCTACAAGAATACGGTCAAGGATACGAATGTTGAAGAGTTGAAAATTTGGTGCTGGTAAGCACTTTTTTACTGATCGTAACAAAATTAGTAAATTTTGGTCTTGGCGACGAGTCCCCTCTTTATTCAGAACGTCTTATCACGTGTATCTAACTCTGTCATTAGTACAAGGAAAATTTGTTACTATTTCCACTAAAATTGAAGTTAAACGTGTAACAATAGAGTGGCACATTTAGTTAATCTCCTGGATCCCGGAACTCAGGGTATTTTATTTTAGAACGGTTTCAAGCGCTTTGTTACCGAGCCCACGGATAACCCCACTCAGGACTTCAAATTACTATTCATGAACCATATAATTCATAATTCTTATTGTTACATAAAGGACCCAGTCGCCACAGAGCGCTCTCTCTCTAGAAAATATCCTCTAGTGTTCATGAGACACAGTAGACCATCAAGCTGACAATAACATTATAAGCAGTGGTTGCGCTGCTCATCTCATAATTCACATGGTGTAGCATCTAAAAACAGCCAACTGGCAGTTCACAGATCACAGTAAGCCGAGAATCCTCAAATCACCGACCATCTCACTTTGGTTCAAAGATACAATTAATATCCTATCAGTCACTCACGGATTGATCAACCGGCAACAGTTACCCCCATTAGTAATTGACACTCACTAGCTGGAAACCTATTAATTATGCGCGCACCTAGCATCAAATAGACATCCAACATTCGGTAACTGGACAAGTCTCCACAAGGAACAATTTTTTTTTCTACTGAGAACATCATCCTAGAACAAATATTCACTCACCTATCTGGTTGCACAAATTGTGACATATCATCGGCTGATTCCCGATGTGATCACCTTACTGCATCCAATTTGGAAACAGTGATCGACCACATATTAAGCTTGCAAATCTTTATTGGGTAACCGGTTAATATTATATCCACCTCTGTTTCCACTCCATCACAACCGCTCATGTTCCTCGCAATTCTTTCAAATAAGAGTAATTATTGCCATAACACGCATTAATAACTTCATTTAACCATACGGCACATATGAATGAAACGAATAAAGAACAACGGCTCGGAAAAAGTTTGAATTTACGGAATAACACTTGCTTTCGTATGTTCGGATCATGATTCGAATTGGGGAGGTTTTGATAGTGCTGGTTATATCTCGCTCTGCGCGAGACCCTTCAATCTTGATAAGCCCGCACTGTTTACCACCCCCTTTGACCATTGATAGCCCCATAGATCAATTGTGACCTTTTGACCTTTTGATGACCCCATTGTATTTGACACCCATATCAGCTGGGTATAAATACCCGTACACCGCTGATACGGGGCTTCTTGTGTTTTGCCCAATAAAGCTTCACATAGCCATCGTGTACCGACCACACATACCACCCGAAAAAGGAGCCGAAATTTCAGCAACCAATGAACTCGTTCCTTTTCCTGTTCCCAAACGGGAACAATTTTCGGTGCATCGGCTAAACCAGCCATACTATCCCGTTTCATCGGATTACTCTGATTGAACTTGTAAATAAATCAACGTTTAGAAGCGGAACCTTGAATAAGCCTGTTTCAAAACGGCAAAAGTGCTGGAGCAAGAAACTACATATTACCGTTCAAAGCAACATGTCAACCGGTCCTTGGCAAGATCCGAAGGCTAGACATGAATTTGAAAAAAAGAGGACAGTAAACAAAGCAAAGCCCGAGATGTCGCTGATTTTCCGCAAAAGCCAACAGGATACAGCGCAAAAACTCTTAGCACTCTGCTTGATAAGTACTGCTCGTACGCAGAGGAAATAAACTCTGCAGGCGATGGTCGCACACAGTACGAAGAGTACTCTACCGCAGTAAACCTAATAGCTAGCGGAATAAAAATTAGAAAATCTATCAGGGATTCCCTGCAATCTCTCGTCGGCAAGTTAGAAGAAGAATTCGACGAAGTAAAAACTAGGGGTAACAAAAAAGACCTCACAAATGATATAGAAGATATCGATTCAGAGTGCAAATTCACGTGAAAAATAGCCCATGCTAACGAAATGATTTACGTGTTGGAGGTGCGACTGACAGAAATCAGATATAAACTGCAAAAACTTGCTCAAAAGCTGGGAATAATCCCGAAAATCAGCGAAATAGCGCGGCGCAACGGCGCAAAATACACAACACAAAAATCGAGTCCACAAAAGCTCCCGAAATCGACGGAGACTTAGTCTGGCTGTCAGAAGGCATGTCCGGAGGTCGGACAACGTACAATTTGACATAGAGGACGCGATTAGCCGCACTTTGAAACCCTGCAGCTAAAGATGTCGAGATTTCACAGCGACGAAGAGGACTTTCCAGAATACTGGGCAGTCTTCCGAACACTAGTGCACGATAACAAAGTGTTAAGCACAGTGGAGAACATGCTGCTCTTGAAGGACAGCTTGAGAGGAAAGGCGAAAGCAGCCGTTAAAGGTATAGAGCTGATCCCTAAAAAGTACAACTGGACGATTGAAGCTTTTGAGAGAAAATATGGGAATAAACCCATAAACAGAGCAAAAATAGTACAAAAATTAATTGATATGCAGCTTTACTCTATTGAACAGAACACGAGGTTGAGTAATACAAATAAGTCGGCTGACGTCTCAGCGATTTTCGCCTTCCTCGGAGCCTTCTAGATCAGTAGAGCCAACCCACCCGGACGACGATAGTAGCGTGAACCAGGCTGATCAGAGNACGTCAGCCGACTTATTTGTATTACTCAACCTCGTGTTTTGTTCAATAGAATAAAGCTGTATTGGAACTATGCCGAGGTTCATTGAGAGTCGAACATGGCAACTAATTGGTATGCGTCCGGCGTCAAATAGTGCTGCAGCCTGCAACAATGTTTTCGACAAAATCAGAATGCTTGTGAACCAAATGGTATCAGCAGGTCAACTCATTCGCATTGCACAAGACGCACTATGGACAGAGAAGATCCTCGACGAATTTCCTTACAGCATGAAGAAGAAAGTCCTGATTACTATACAGAGCAAGGGCGAAGTCAAAATTGAAGACATAATGAACGAGCTAGAAAAAGAGATAGAAGTCAAGAAATTCGTAAAATCAAGATTGCGCAACTTCTCAAAGCACGACTACAACAGATAAAGAAAGAGATACTCCAGAGAACAGCGTTACAAACTCTCAAAAGCGTGCGTATTTTGCAAAAATGCCAACCGCACGTCACATTATTGCAGAACGGTGGTAGGAATAAATGGAAGAAGAGATATCTTACGCTTATGTTGAGGCCAAAATGTTATCTAAAGCAGGGTTAAAAGTTTTTATCCAATCTTGAACTCGAGGCTTTCAGATAAGCCGTGCATTGCTACTTTATGCAAGGATTTAATAAGGGCAGTAACTGTTGAAAACAAGGCTGATATGTTAGCCGATACTTTTGAAAACGCCTTTGCTTCATCTTGCCCTGTAATGAAACCTCTGTTGTATCCTAGTATTGATTGCTCTGACCCTGCTCCTTGGTTTTGTAAAGGGGATATTGCGATGATGCTGTCTGAGTGGACCTCATCAGCCTCAAATAACCCTGATGGACTATCATACTTAGTTATCAAGCAAGGCATTCATGAAATCACTAGTCCTCTTGAGTTCCTATTCAATCTCAGTTTCATGAACAGTGAAATGCTTCGCAGATGGAAACATGCTATTGTCATTCCGCTGCTCAAAAAAGAACCATTGTCTGACCCTGGAAATTATAGGCCTATAAGCTTGACCTCTATTCTTGCCAGAGGTTTTGAGAAAATTCTCAGGAAATACAGGTTCTCAATATTCTCAGGTTCCTCATCTTGATAAGTTTGGTATATTTCCAAATTCCCTATGGTTTTTGTATAGGTAGATCTATTGAGACTTTATCACTGGATTGTCTCAGTAACTGGACAACCTCTTTGGATCGGAGGAAAAGCGTAGATGTGGTTTATTTCGACTTCCAAATGCATTTGATAAAATTTCCCATGAGTTATTGATTCAAAAGCTGGAACATCTTGGTTCCATCATCTGGTGGGGAATCGGATAAAAGAGTTTCTGTATAATAAGACATTTCAAGTTTTCGTGAAGGATTCTTCCTCATCAGTTTGTACCGTAAAATCAGGAGTACTCCAAGGTGGGGTACTTTTCCCAGTTTAGTTTAACCTATTTACTTCAGACTTCTTTAGTTTCTTAAGGATCTTGATGTTGTTCGCGAATTTTATGCAGATGACATAGAAATCTATAAAGAGGTCTTCGGAGTTGGTTCTGACATAAATCCCCAAAAAGCAATTGATAAAGTAGCTGTATGGCCCTGAATGAATCATCTTTCTATTTCCATCGAGAAAACACAAATTCTATGCCTGAGCAAACATACTCGGAATCCCTCATATCGTTTGGGTGGCTCGACTCTTAAAGTGGTATCGGAAGTCCGTGACCATTATGATAGAACACTTAGCTTTTCTAATAATTATGAAGTAATAGTTTTAAAAGCCCTCCGTCGGAGTATCAACGTTTTCAAAGTGCTTCGCACTAATGACCCTGAAGCTTTGCTTAGGGCTTTCAAAGTTTACGTTCATCCCATTTTGGAAAGTGAATCTACTGTTTTCACACCCTACATATAAGAAAGAAGTTATTTATGCTTCAGAAGGAGTACAAAATAGTTCCACTCGTGAACTTATGATGCGAAGTCATCGTTTAAATTATAAAGAAATACCTAGTGGAAGTGAGCGTAGTAAGATACTCGGTCTGAATTCTCTTGAATGGAGAAGAAAGAAATTTGATGTACTTATGGCATATGAAATTTCAAATGGCATAACTATCGTGGATATTTCTAAGTTTTTCACAATCGTGTCTTCTAACACGCGAGGTTCAGCTGTGATTTCAACCATGCCAGCAAGAATCCAGATTAAGCCACATTTTTCCAGTAACAGAGTTAGATTTAGCTTCAGTTCTCTTTTACGTCGTAATTTCATCCCACCAAATTATTGTACTTTCAAAAAATCTATTGACAAGTTGATTTGACTCAGTCGAGGTTATTATAGAATCGTTGTTTGTTTCATTTCCTTCTTCCATGGTCATATTGTTCCCCTCATTTCACATGCTTACAGCATGACTGATAAATACATAAATAAATGTAGAAAACATGCTGAAAAGGAGCAACTTTGCCGGAAGTGCTTTGCTGACAGCCACAAAAGCGGCGAATGCCTGAAGAAGAACTGCTCGCTCTGCAAACAAATGCACGATGTCAGCATATGCTTCGTCAATGGTCCCATGCAAAAAGAAACCAGGGAATGCGGTCCGTTGGTCCTCCCACACAGCTAATGATGGGTCTTATTTTGTAATCACTAGCATTAACTGAGCCACCTCCGTTGGACTACTTATGAGTTTGGGCTATAGAAAACCGGACACGAGGGAGTACCCAACTTCAATGTTTTTAATCAGTCTTTTATCCAACTTTGCTCTCTTTCCTATAGATATCCATAACGCATTCAGCCTGCGACATTGCGCGAGGAACGCCTTTCCCGTAGAGCTACGGTAAACAGGGGTATCATTGAGGTGAACTCCGTGATTCCACGATCCACGATCTAGAGAACGAGGTGGAACCATCACGAGATTTCCCCTCCCTCGTCACTCACGGAAAGGCGGATTTCACCATCTGCTACGCGTTTTCGCATCTCTTGCAATCCATCACACTGTTCGTTCGTCATGTTTGAGAACGTTTCGCGACCATGTCTTTTAAAATTTTCAAGTACTCCTGATGAAACTACTCGAAATTTTATGTCTTGTATGGCTGAAGGTTCTGGTTCTTTATAGAGCGAAAATGGGAAAGGAATAGGCGCTAGCACGGATGCTGTGCTAGTGCGTTGAGGTTCTTCGCTCACTGCACTCTTTCTAAGCTGATCTCCCAAACCATGAAGCCCTGTTACCATCTGGTGATGTGTGGAAGGTTCAATCCTCGGGCGATTGAAAATGATTGCTCAAGACTGAGGAAATCCAGAGCTTTCTCCGATACCAATGCACCGGCGATAACAGTAACTCGTGCTGACTTCGCGAATTGTTCACTTGTTGAGTGGTAACAAGTGGCTGCTCGCATCAACAACAAGTGCATATTAGAGGAAGTAGAGTCTGATTCGCTTGTCTGCTTTTAGCAGGAGGAAAGGGCCTGGCGAGCCATGTACCGATGTTGGTGTCCTTCAAAGGACTTCTTCAGGCGTCGTCCGGTAGCTCTTCCGCTTTCCGTCAAGCTACCCCGTCCAAGAACCTCGTTAGGAAGTAGGCTCTTTGTTGAGATGTCCACGTTGTGGATCTCATCCTCATAACATGTTCGAGGCGTCTGAGCCACAATGAGAATTGCAGGGGGCCCTCCCCAAAACCCGGGAAGGGGATAATTTGCGGTAAGGGACCATCCGGGCTCACCCTGCGACCAGGAGCAGCACGTCGATGCGATCTCCTACGGCCGCGAAGCTGTTCAAGTCTGAGAGTGGGTTGAAATACCCTCGTTGTGGTCTGTGCCAGCTTCGTTGCCCCGGACCTGGCTTCGTCGCGGACTTTAGCTATGGCAAGGAATGAGCGTCACGTAGGGCTTTCGCATCCCTACCTCGAACTGTCTCGCGATCATCTATCTCACAACGTTCCCTCCAAGTTGGCGAATGCTGACTTCCCAGAGTCTGATTTTGGTGTCAGGGCTACTACGGCTTTAGATTCTGTAGAATGAGAGCGGGTCATGGGGGGACCCATGATCCACTGAGTAAGCACACAAGATAAAGTCAGAAATAAGACTTGAATAATGAAAGTAATGAAAGTTAATAATAATGAAAGTTACAGATCTCAAAAAGCCAGGTTCTCTCTTAAATGTTCGAGGGTGTTCGGGGCCAGCCATTGGGAGACTGCTACCACAATTTCAGTAGGAGCCCTTTCCCAGAATCAATGGGCGTTTTTCATCTATTTCTTCGAACACCATCTGATTCATGCTGCGATAAAGATGTTTAAGCTCTGAAATCTAATAAAGAATCAAAACATTAAAAAGAAGCCTGTTCCTATTCTGCCGTATGAAGGACCCAGTCTCTGATGATGCTGCGAACTCGACGCTGTAAGAAACAAAGAAATGGCATGTGATGAAAAGGTCCGAGAAATTCGATGGAAATGTTGCCGATCGTGGAGATAAACAAGTGAACGTGAGAAAAATGAAGCAGGAATAGCGCTTATATCAAGAATAGTTGGCTACGAAGCTTGGAACGCATAGGGACGAGGTACTCGCGGCTATGTGGATAGGTCATGGACTTGACGGAAAACAGGTGAATGTATCGAAGAGGAAAAAAACGTGAGCGACCCAAAAGATGGGAAACGAATGGCCACCAAAGGTGGGAGGAGACTCTTGCTTACCTTGTAGAAGGCAAGAACCAGACGCGGCATGGCTCCATACTGGTGTTTGTCCCCTTCATAGGATCGGTAAAAGCTTACACGGCAATTTCGATGGCTTGACCATATGCGGTCAAAGGATTGCGCCGCCATGAAAATACGCCATACATTGCCAGCAGGCGAGGTCTGCGCGCTCTCGCAAATTGCAACTTCGAGAACCAAGAAACTAGGAGGGAATAACTAACTCATGCTACGGCTGCAAACTTTCCACCTGGCGAGGACTACTCACAAACTGACTTCAAAAACGGACCCTTCGGCTCCTCCGCGAGTGGAATCCGTGTAAAGAGGCACCACCCGACTGAAAGAAGACGAGCTTCATATGATCATTTCTGTTTTTTTCATGTTTTTTTCGAAAGTATGCTTACGTCCGAGGAAACTTATCAGCTGAGCATAATATACTAAATGCTGCTACTGGTAAGCCTACCGTACACTTCTCGGAGCCGTCAACAACACGATTTAACGTCCATGGAAAAGCCTCATATCGTACGATTCACTCCAACTGACTACCTAGGATACTCCATATAGACTTGAGTCAACGTGGGACGAACACCATCAACTACTCTACCGTTACTTTCCTTCGATAACTTTTCTTCTAGCTATGGCCCCTGGCAGTTTCGGACCCCTGCCGTGGGTGGAATACTTTACCATGGTAAAAAAGTCGTTCGTGATGACAAGGAATAAGTGGTGAACTTAATCAACTCACAGATGGAACT